ACGGAGGAGTGTCAGAGGTGAGCTCGTTTCAACTGCTTTTTACAGCGCGGTCTCATTTCCGGACTGAGGAATTTTGCTATTTCAGTTAAAATACATAAGTAAAAATATTTATCCAGGTATAATACTACCCCCAATTTTATGGATGATTTTATGGATTAAATTTTACATATTATACACGAATAAATACGGTACTTGAAATATAAACCTCCATGATACATGAAAAACAAGTCAATGATTACATGAGAATGGACTGATTTTCTTCCAATATTGAGCCTGTACTGAGATAAACTACTGGCTAAAAGTTTGATTCGAACATTTTCCGCCTCAGGTTACTGTTACAGCTGTGATGTACGATAGGTGAGTATTCTGTAATAAACATTTCCACAAGACTTGAGGTGTTTTTTCTCCCCTTCAGGCAGTTTTACAGATCCAACCAGACAGTCCAATCAATAATTTTTTAGTAATTTTAAACCTAACTTACATCAGCATCGGCTCTGCTGGTAAAACCTCACAGGACTTTTTTAATTCTGACCTTTGAGTGAACATTAACAAACAAATCACAGCCTTTTATTCTGAAAGAGTTCAACACTTTAACGGGTGCAGAGATATATCTTGAGTTTTTTGAAAGTGCAGTCCAAATGTACAGAACATGGAGCTAAATTCAATAAAAGCCCGATGTTCTGCTCTCTGTCCTCGGGCGACAGCAGGTTGGAGCCCAGCCGGTCCTGCCTTCGTCCCAGAGGACTGTTTGGGTTCAGCTGCCTGGCTGTCGTGCAAAAATAAAAATCTCATCACCATTCTCTGTTCATAAGCCTCCTCTTCAGCTTCTCATTTACATAAATGTCCAGCAGGGGACAAAAACCATATTTATAAACTCATTTTTAATTATAAACACTCATTTTTGCCTGATGCTATGAAAGACAAGTGATCTTGACCTGTATTTAAACATTCTGGTTTAGGTTTGTCTTTACTGTATGTAATGTAGACTTATTAAAACATTTTGGTTTAGGTTTCTCTTTACTGTATGTAA